GTTTGGACTTTGCTCAGGGGGAGGTAGCAAGCCCTGCAGGGCAGTAAGGAAGGGCAGGTAGGGAGAAGTCAGGAATGCAAGATCCAGGAGGTGACAGTGTTGCCCATTGGCAGTGGCTAGCCCTTCCTGAGCTCCTAGCCTTATCTACCCAGGCAATGGTGTTGGTGATGTGTGTGAGGATGACTTTGACAATGATGCAGTAGTCGACCCCCTGGATGTGTGTCCTGAAAGTGCAGAGGTAACCCTCACGGATTTCCGAGCCTATCAGACCGTCGTCCTGGATCCTGAGGGTGATGCTCAGATTGACCCAAACTGGGTCGTTCTCAATCAGGTACTTAGACTCGGCAGTGGGCTGGGCAGGTACTGTCAGGCCAGACCACCAGGTAGGGCCTAGGTGGGGTAGTACACCTGGATCAGGGCTTATTTCTTTCCTGAACAACCCCAGGGCATGGAAATCGTTCAGACCATGAACAGTGACCCTGGCCTGGCAGTTGGTATGTACGGGGTCATCCAGTTCAATAATTTCCAAATGGAAGAATTCTTCAGGGACAGAGCATGAGGGAGGAAAGGGAGGGGAAAGATGGGCGAAGGCAACAGAGAAGGCAGTGGACAAGCTGGCCACACATACTGCAGGCACCCCTTCCCAGTCCTCCTGCTGTGGGCCACTTGCTGCCCCTGACCTTTACCCCACCCCTACCCCCACCCCAGGATACACAGCCTTCAATGGTGTGGACTTTGAAGGCACCTTCCATGTGAACACAGTGACTGACGATGACTACGCAGGTTTTCTCTTCAGTTACCAGGACAGTGGCCGCTTCTATGTGGTCATGTGGAAGCAGACAGAGCAGACCTACTGGCAGGCCACACCTTTCCGTGCTGTTGCCCAGCCGGGGCTGCAGCTCAAGGTAACCCAGCTGCCCAGTTTCCCCAACCTAGGCCTGTTCCCAAAGCTCTCCCCTGCCAACCCCAGGGCCTCCTCTCCTGCCTGATCGGGAATCCTCAGGACTCTGGCCTGCAGGTCGGCTCTGTGGGCCTCCTTGACTCCCTTCCCACCTGTACGTACCAGCCTTGTGTTTCCCTTCTCTTTGGTCCCATGGTTGACCTAGTGTCTTTGCCAATGACCCCCAGGCAGTGACATCAGTGTCTGGCCCAGGTGAGCACCTCCGGAATGCCCTGTGGCATACTGGCCATACCCCTGACCAGGTACGGCTGTTATGGACTGACCCACGAAATGTGGGCTGGCGTGACAAGACCTCCTATCGCTGGCAGCTGCTGCACCGGCCTCAAGTTGGTTATATTCGGTGAGGAGAGGGGCCGAGTCCATCCGGAGGACCCCAGGCTGGGGCCTTTCCTTCCCTTTTAGCTGGGACTCACCAGTGACCTCTCCTCTGCTCAGTTCCTCAGTGCCATGGGTAGGGACCATGGCCACTTCTCCCCATCTCCCTTCTCACCACAGACAGGACCTGTAGCCAGTGTTGGGCACATCATTCCTTCTCTGTGCCCCATTTTTCTTCTGTAAAATAAGAGCATTGAGCTAGATGCCCTCAGACCCCAGGCCAGTCTGTACGGGGCCCATCACTTCCAACCTCCTAAGTGGCACAGCCCAGAGCCTACTTCATCAGCAGCTGACCTGGAAGGGATTTTACAGAGGCCCAGACCTCCCAGGCCTCTCAGTTCAGCACTTTGTCCACAACTTTGCAGTTCCCTCCCACAAGTGTCCCTAGTTGATGGGGACAACTGGAGAAGGGAGGGGAAATGGGTGTGCTTGGAGGCTGGACTTTTTTCAGTCAAGAACTCAAGAGTCCTGGGGCCTGGGGTTGGTGCCCCTTTAAGGTGCCTAGTGCTGTGGGGCGCCAGAGCTGGGGATAAAGGGGGGTTGACTAGAGCCTGGGAAGCGGGTGACTTCACCCCCCTGCCCATTGTGCTCATCGCCATGGCAACCCAATCCTCGCTTGGAATGCGGCTGGTGCTTTGAGATGCAAAAGGGGCTGGACAAAGAGCTAGGGGCCCCTGGCCTGAGAAAAGCACCCCCTTCCCTCCCCTTTCCTCCTCTCCCTTCTCTCTTCAGCCTGGTGAGCTCAAGGGGGGCTGGGATGAGCAGGGCCTGGGACATGGAGGCACTGTACCCACTGGCACCTTAGCACCAACGGACACCCACCCCTATCCTGGACAGGGTGAAGCTCTATGAGGGTCCCCAGCTAGTGGCGGATTCTGGGGTGATCATTGACACATCCATGCGAGGGGGGCGTCTTGGTGTATTCTGCTTCTCCCAGGAAAACATCATTTGGTCCAATCTCCAGTATCGATGCAACGGTGAGGCTCTAGACAGATCAACCTGACCCCTCACATGTCCTGGAAGAGTCACATTCTCTGACCTTACTTATTTCCCCTTCTTCAGACACAGTGCCCGAGGACTTTGAGCCATTCCGGAGGCAGCTGCTGCAGGGAAGGGTGTGAGGAGGTGGCCACCGGATTCCTGATTTTAGACTCTCTGGCCTTGGGGTCCATCCTGGAGACTCTGAGGTCTAAACTACAGCCCCTCAGCCAAACATAGACCCTCCTCTGGCACCCGTCAGTTCAGCCCCAGTGGGGCAGCACCCCCACTGTTCAGGTGTTGGGACATTTTCAAGGGGTACTACTCAGGTACTAACCCCAGGAAAGAAAATAGCAGATTGCCATAAAGTTCCAGTTGTTTTCTAAGCCAGTGCAATTGCTTGTTTAGGGGTTTTCTGGGTTAGGGTGGGAATCAAGAAGGAACCTGAGGGCGTCAGAGGAAAGCTGGTAGGCTAGAAGTTAGAGAGCTAAGGAAAGTTTGGCTGATTTGGGTCGCGGGTGGAGAAGGTGCCAGATGGGGTTAAGTGAAGGATGAGGTGCTGTTCGGAGGATGGCTAAAGTCCTCCCAGCCCCACTTACTCACGGTGGCAGCGGCGACACTCCAGTCTATCTTAGATCAGCCGGTATCGAAAGCCAGGAGGGCGGGGGCTGCCCCGCTTGAGGAGAGGGGGAGGCCAGGGGGCCGAGGGGGCCGGAGGCCGGGACGAGTGCAATATTGGCGGGGGAAGTAACAACACTGCACCGCGTCCCGTCCCTCCCGCCCGCCCGGGGCCCGGGATCCCACTCCCTACAGCCTGAAGCCAGCCGGGCTCAAGGACTGGGGTGCACTTTGGGGAGTTGGGTTCACCTTAGAAGCAGGCCAAAGACTTGGCGCCTCTAAGGGTGAAGGGGATGGTAAAAGGGAGGGGGTAAAGGGAGAAGGGGAGACCGCGGTGCCCAGGAACGCCGCTTTCCGACGCCCGGGCGTTGCGCGCGCTTGCTCTTTAAATACTCAGACTGAGCGGCGCGGAGCCGTCACCATGGTGACGCGTGTCCCAGCAACCGAACTGAATGGCTGTTGCCAGGCAACTCCAGAGTTGAGGTTTGGGGCCGCCCACCTAGATATTCCTACTTTCTCTAACGGGCTGGTGGGGGGCCTTCCCCGCCTCCAGCCGGCTCGCGAGCGCGCGGACATACCGCGCCCAGCGCCGCCCACGGGCTACGGCGCGGCACAAAGCGGTGCCTTGGAGGCCGAGCCGCGGGCGCGGGAGCGGTGGTGCCCCGCTCCTGCCTGGGCTTTCCTCCAGTCTCGCGCCATGCAGGAATGTTCTTAAAGTACTGGTTTCCAGTCTGTGTTGTCGGGGCTAAGAGTTGTTTTCCCCATCCCCTCGACACTGCCTCTGTTGGCCTAGGCCACCAGCGGGAACCCGGACCCAGCCTACACCCTGAGACCACGTGCCGCACTGGCCCCAAATACCTCCCTTCCCCGCAAACATTTCCGGCCTTCAAAGTACCTTTCGATTCTCCCAAATGACGCACCCTCACGTACGGTTTTGCTCTCCCAACGCACACGCACCTGCACCACTCTGCTCCCCGGAGGACAGTTGTATTCCTAAATTCCATTCTGTCGCTCCACCTACTCGGCCTCCTAAATCCGCGACTAACCTGTCCTACTCCCCCCTCCCACATTCCGATGTCCTCTCCCAGAGACCTCGACGCCCCTTCTATAAGCCTCAGGACCCCACCCACTTAGAATCATTTCCTCCAGACACCACCCCCAAGCGTCTGAGTCCCCCACCTACTGCCCCCGACCCCACGGTTGTGTGTGGCGCCCCCCCCCTCCCCCCGCTTTCCTTCCAAGGCATTGATACTTCCCGCCAGGGCCCAGCTTCCCCAGGATCTCACTGCCCCCATTCAGTCAACGTCGCCCAACCTCCTCTCCCCTGGATCGGGGCCCCTCCGGACGCCAGGGTCGGCCACTAGGGTCGGCCACTAGAGGGCAGGAGCTCCCAGCAGCAGCTCGAGGTGGAGGCTGGAAAGGAAGAACCCTAGGGTTCGGCAGAGCCCTGGTTTCGACCTTCTTTAAGTGGAAATTTCCCCCCGCCCCCTTCTCGGGAGAAAGCCAAGGAGGGAACCCAGGCTGCTGGAAAGCCCGGCCGGCCGGGGCGGGGACTGTGGGTTTCAGGGTAGAACCGTGTGTGGAACGGGACAGGGAGCGGTTAGAAGGGTGGGGCTATTCCGGGAAGTGGAGGGGGGCAGGGAGGGAGTCCAAAACTAGCACCTAGTTCACTCGTTATTAAGCACCCTTATTTCTTCTCAGCACGCAGAGTGGGGCTTCAAAGGACCCGGGAGGGGAGGGAAATAGAGTGGCGGACCTCGGGGTGGGCCTCCTGGCCTTGCTGTCAGGGCCTTCACTAGGCCCCCCTTCTCTGCTCCCTTTCCTCACCTTAGCTGTTGTGCTGGGGCTAAAAGTAGAACGGGGGTGGGTCACGCTCCCTAACCCCCTCCCCCACACCCACCTCCTGGAGTCAGGGAGTGGTTGGTAAAAGGGGAGGTCAGTGAAGAACAAACAGGTTGTCAGAAGTTGAGTGATTGGAGCCCAGGTACCCTACTCAGGAATGGTTGGGGAGGAGGAGGAAAAGGCAGGAGGTAAGGAAGGGGGAAGGGGGGCGGGGTTTTGTCACCTGTCACCTGCTCCGGCTGTGCCTAGGGCGGAAGGGGGGGACTGGTATAAAGCAGCAGGCGCCAGTGCCGCTGCAACTCACTGCAGTGCGGCTGGAGTCTGCTCTGCCCCCTCCCCACCAGTTCAACACCACCATGACACCTGGCATCCAGTCCCCCTTCTTCCTGCTGCTGCTTCTCCCAGTGCTTCCAGGTGAGGGGCCTGAGGTTTGGAGGGGGCTGCCCTGCTCATGTGGTATTCCTGGACTTTCTGTGGGTTTTATTTCCTGGCAGATGGCACCATGAGAGTCAGAAATTGCAGACAGGTGTGAACAGGTTGGTACCAGAATGAAGGAGAGAGACTCAGGACAGGCTGAGAAGAGGCAGCCCCCAGGAGAGGGGGTGCAGGGGAAGAGAATGTCCCGAAGAGAAGTCTAGGAGGGAAGGGAGTCGGGAAGGGTAAGTCTTAGGAGTGAAGAAATGGACCAGCCAGGAGCAGAGGTGTATGGGAAGAGTGGGAGAGGCTGCCAGCAGGGTGGGAGGAGGGGGGCAGACCCAGGGGCTGCCGGCCAATCCCCAGTCCTCCTGATATTACCTCTCCTGTTAGCAAAGGTTATACTTTCTCCTTGCTCTGATTTGCCCTCCAACCCAGTAGTTCTTACAATTTCTGGCTCCAATTAGGTCAGAAAGTAACCCAGTGTCCAACTGTGTTGAGAGAAGTACTGTGAGAATGACCAAAAGTTTACTCCCACCTCAGCTCTGGTTCATGCTCTGCTGCCATTCCAGGACAGAATAGCGTTACCTTATCTCAAGTCTCCAACACTGCCCCAAACTCGGCCAATTCTGTGATCACTGCAACTCCAAGCAGCAGATCTCCATCAGGCTCTGCCGCCACCCCAGCACACCATGGTACCTCATCTGGGACCACTGGGGCTCCAAGCAGCTCAGCCTCCACCCCACCCCACCATGGCACCTCATCTGGGACCACTGAGGCTCCAAGCAGCTCAGCCTCCACCCCAGCCCACCATAGTCACTCATCTGGGAGCACTGGGGCTCCAAGCAGCAGCTCAGCCTCCACCCCACCCCACCATGGCACCTCATCTGGGAC